GATGCTAGTTGAAATAAAACTGAGACGTTTTGTAGCGTGACTGACTATTGCATGAAACAGCATGGACATATCAAATATGCAAAATACGCCTATCTTCATTTGTAGGTTACATGCATCCTACAAAAGACGACTGTGTGTTCAGTAGGCCTAAATGAAAAAAAAAAAAACGTTTTGAACGTTATATTTCATTAATTAATGCAAACCAAAATGTACGTAAAAGTGACGACGAAAAAATAAACTTATTGATATACAATATGGAGGAGAAAGCTGAAGATATCGATTCAAAGTAATTCGATTCACGATTTAACTTTAACAAAAGAATGCATAATAACAATGAATCGGTAAGAGACTTTGTAAACAGTTTGCAAAGGATTGTGACTACCGAAATCTCAGAGGAACTAATGAGGGACAGAGTAGTAGTAGGGATCAAGTATAAAAAAGTCAGTGACAAAATGCAACTAACATCTAAATTAACCTTTAATGAGGCAATTACCATCGCACTATGAGTAGAAGCAATCGAGAGTGAAGGTTATTTTCATGAAGAGTCTAGTTTGAACAAAATTACCGAACAGAAAGGAATAAATAAATGACAAACTTGTTGGTTTTGTGGAGGAAAAGTATTTTATTTTATCCAAAAGCGTGCACGCTCGACCATATAACGCACATTTGGCATATTGAAGGGTCTTTTGGCAGCTCAGGAACTTCATTACTGTCCAGATACAGCAAGTAAAATTATAAGATATTGTGTTGTATATTACAGAATATCTGTATAAGGGCTGGTATATACTCGTATGATGTTCCTGAGTTGTCAGAAGACGAACTGCGCATGGAAAGATGCAGACAGTCTCTGCCTTTCTTTGTTACGACCCCTACTTCAACTCAAGCTCTTCAAGATGGCCGCATAGCAAGAGCTGTATTGGTTGCAAATATTAGAATGAATTAAATAAAATATAAAAATGTTATTTTTTTTATGGGATGATTGTTTTATCTCCCATTAAGAAATAAAAATCTATAAGGGTATTGTTATAGGATATAATTTTTATTCTAAATAATTAAATAAAAACAGTCAGTAATTTTTATATGCGGTTTAAAAACTCTTAAGATACCACACAGTTCGAACAGGGCAGTCTTAATTTGTGTCAGCTCTCTATTCCTAACCGCCTTTCTTAGTACCCGTTCCTCTTCAATTTCAAAGCGGCCTCTTGTGGACATTGTATGTTGCAGCAACCCTCCGTTTGCAGCGCGTTGAACGTGCTGACCGAGGCACTGTCAAAAAATATTACAAGCACCTTTCAATATGCAATAAGTAGTTATTTAAAACATTTTACTGAGTCAAAGTAAATGAGAAATAAGTCATAGAACCTTAAAAATAAAATTACATTTATAAGAAAACTACACACACCGGCAAAATAAGGGGAACATAAAAAAGGTCGATTTTTCTCCAAACTTTCGGGTATCTTGACAACTTGTTATTATTTATGTGTTAATACCCTCTTTACAAGTTATCTTAAGTGCAAATTTGTCATTTAAAAGTATGCTGACAAATTTTATGACCCTATTAAGAATTTGCTGACACTTAATGTTAGAATTACTTCTGATAAGATCTTTCTTGGGTTCAGTTTAAAGTGACTGTGGGTCATTCCACTGTTTATTTTTGAACTGTGTATAACATTCCTGGTAAAAAATGAGTGATTTGCCAGCAACTTCTACTTCTAGGGCTGTAACCATAATCGAAGAAGGGCATAGTTACCGCTCGGTAAGCCGAGCTTTAGGTGTATCGAACTTCAGTGATTTACCGCATTGTTCACCGCTATAGGGAGACGGGATCTTACGTGCGCCGTCGTGGACAGGGCAGAAATCGGGCTACAAATGCCGTTGACGACTGAATTATCACCATGCAAACTTTGAGAAATCGTCGACAAACCGCTGTTCAGACCCGAAATCAACTGGCTGAGGTCCGTAACGTAAATGTTAGTGAACGGACGGTTAGAAGACGTCTTAATGAAGTTAGATTAAGGTCTTATGTTCCAGCAAAAGCACCGAAACCCGAGGCAGCTTATCGTGTAGCAAGATTAGCCTTCGCCCGTGAGCACCGAAATTGGACAAGTGAGTGGGGTCGTGTTTTATTCGCCGATGAGAGCCGCTTTTGTGTTAATTTTGTGGATGGGAGAGAAAGGATGTGGTGGTATCGAGGTGAACGATACAACCAGACTAATTTCACGGAAACAGTGTCATATAGTGGAGGGTCAGGAATGGTATGGGGTGGCATATGTTTAGGAGCCCGCACAGTGTTAGTGCTCATTAAAAATTGATCTCTTACTGCGCACCGATACGTAACAGAGGTTTTAGATCCACATGTCATGCCTTTTCCCCCATTTATAGGCCAAAATTTCATTTTTATGCATGATAAAGCACGCCCCCACACTGCGAGTATAGTGAATAGCTACCTCCGTGAGGCTGGTATCAATCAAATGGACTGGCCAGCATGATCACTAGATATGGACGTTCTGGGAAGAAGAGTTCGACAGCAAAATCCAGCACCCAGAAATGTTAAAGAGCTGAAATTGGCTTTGGTGGAAGAGTGGGAAAATTTACCTCAAGAAATGATCGACAGCCTTATTCAGAGCATGGGAAATCGTATACAAGCTCTGCTAAGAGCCCGCGGAGGCAACACTCGTTATTAATTTTACCTATCTGTTATATCCGGCTCGAAGAACCAAATATAACAGATAGGTAGTAGTGATAGGAGTTTGAAAAGAAAGGGCTCAAAGTGAAGGAAATAATATAATAAAGATAATAACAGATAGGTAGTAGTGATAGGAGTTTGAAAAGAAAGGGCTCAAAGTCAAGGAAATAATATAATAAAGATAATAATTAAAATATATACAAACTAAAATACGCAGCTTACTTACATGACATATAATGTTTTATTAAATGGTCATATTCAAGTGGCGCGACACATAGTGGGATTCAGCGAGCACCTCGTTGAGTGTTTATGATGTTCAATTGTTTATAGTTCAACGTGGCATGTCTTCAGATTTATATACCTTCTACTTTTAAATATTTATTTTGATTCATATTTTAAAGAGCAAAGGAAAATATACTGGTTCTATTCATGTGGACGAGAGCGTCTGCGAGAGCGATTGAAATAATTCAAAACAAATCCTAAACCACTTAGTTTATATAAATATTAATAAATACTCGCCCTTCCGTGATAACTAACAAAACACAATTACAAGTTATTAACCGTACCACGAATTAACACGTAATGGTGTCCGCTAATTAGAATCTTAAGCTGCGTACAAACTAGACGAGACGAGCACGAGAGGAGCCAAAGTTCTTGTAGTGTAGACCGGTTGACTAGCCTCAAACGAGCGCACTTCGAGCGTTGGGCTCGTGCTCGGCATTGCTCCGACCGTTGTCGGTATTTTTAAGAACACAAAGAGATTTACGTAGCGCTCGTGGACGCGTTAGTTGACACACGTGCGTTTCACTGGCCGGAGCATCATGGAAACGTGGATAGAAGATGAGTGTTTGCAGTTAATTGAATTATATCAAAATAATCCTATGATATGGGACCCAAAACATGAGGATTACTTAAAAAAAATAAGAAGCATGGTCTCGTGCATCTCAAGAGTTATGCCGGTTGGAGACCGACAACTAAGCTATGCCAAAGCTAAAGTAAGCAAACTAGGCTTAACTAGGCTAAGCTAAGATAGAAATAAACGGCGTGCACACCAAGAGCTAAGCCAAAGCTCAGTCAGTGTTGCGAAGTTCAATTAGACGGACGACGCTCGCCATCAATATAATCGATGAAGAAAGTTCCGATGATGAATACGTAACACATAGAAAAAGAAAATTAATACGGATTTATTATTATTTAATAAAGAGGCATTTCAGATCTTGGATATGTCAACACATTCAATCTCGGCACACAAGTGGAGAATTTAGAACTTTATTTTACGAGTTAGATTATGAACATTTTCAGTTACATTATCGTGTTACAAGAGTTCAGTTTTATGATTTGTTATCATTGATTATCGGAGATATTACTAAACAAGACACTAACTATCGAAAGGCTATAACCCCAGAAGAAAGATTAGCTATTTGTTTGAGGTAAGCAAAACAATTTTAATTAAAAAAAACTTTTTTCAATGCAGTTGCTCATAAAGTGCTATTTTTTTAATCCATTGTAAACACCGAAAGTGAGTCTTTAAACACGTGTTGAATAAAAATGTACTGAAATCCATTACTGCACATGTGCTTAAAAGTATATTTTAATTTTTTTTTTGGCCGAGCACCAAAGAAATTTAATAAAAAATTGATGAAAATATGTCAAACTTTAGAGGCAAAAGTATTTCAAGGAGCCTAGAACGAATATTTTCAAATAAAAATGTATGACACGAAAACATGTTCAAATATCACGTTTAATTTTAACAAATAATTTTTACCTTTAATACATACTTAGTTTTATTAAACTATTTATTTGTTTTATTTCGTCGCAAAAAGCATTGAAAAATGTTGTAAGAAACTTGAGCGTAAAAGGTTTTTCGAATTCGTGCCAATGAATTCAATTTGGCCCTTATTCGTAAAACCTTACTTTCCGCACTCGTACATATCTTAAATAACTTTTTTATATTTTTTGTTAGTAAAGGCCACAAGTTTATATTACAAATTAATTATCTAAGCTATCTAAGTTTTGAGCTGGTGTCGAGAAGCTGGATGATGATGAATACCCATATTGATAAGTCTGCCTAGACAAATATCTTTCATAATTTTCCTCTGCTTCGTTTACAATTTGAAAAAGCTTTTTTTTTACATCTCTTTGTTTCCAATCGGGAAGCTTTTTAGTTGACTCGCACATACTGTCAAAAAACAAATTTTGCGGATGCCTGTGTTTCTCCGCCTCTTTTGCCTCCTCAGCTTTCCGTTTCTCTCTTTGCTCGCATCGTTTCATAAAATCGTTATCGACTTGCTGAAGTATGTCGCGTAATGATAAATCATCGGCAACTCTTCTTTTTTTTTATCTTTGGTGGTTCAGAAGTGCTTTCATCATCATCATTCAGAATTTCTTCGAAAATCTCAGTAGTTTGCATGTCGGTTGATGAACCAGGCAAAATATTTTGACTTTCGTTTGATGTACTGGGCAAAGTATTTTGACTTTCGATCGATGTACCGGGCGAATTATTTTGACTTTGAGTTGATGCCAAAGTATTGTTGTTATTAATTGATACGTTGCCTGTTCTCTTAAGGTTTTTCATGTGGGGTAAAATAAATTCGAGTAACTCGGCATATTTCCAGTTATTTGTCGGAGAAGCAGCCTGACCACTTGTGCTGGCTTTCATCCTTTTGAGTGACTCTCGATGACTATCACGTAATTTTTTCCACTCATTCTTCGCAGTTTTCACTGTAACAAACACCAAGTCAAACTTAGTAATAAATATTTATGTGTTTCAGTTTTTAGCTACTGGTGACTCCTTTAGAACATTTGGATACAATTACAGAGTGGGTAATAATACAGTTTCTTTGATTGTTAAAGATGTGTGCAATGCACTTTGGATTCATTTGCAACCAATATATATGAAGTTACCGACACAAAGTGAATGGAAAGCAATTGCAGAAGACTTTGATGATAAATGGCAATTTCCTAACTGCCTTGGTACCGTGGATGGGAACCATATCTCAATTAAATGCCCTCCTCAGTCGGGTTCTAATTATTTGAATTTAAAAAAAAAATATTCTGTCGTCCTTCATGTAGTCGTTGATGCGCACAAAAGATTTATCATAAAAGACTTTGGTTCAATGAGCCGATTTAGCGACGGAGGTATTTTTGCAGATAGCGCATTTGGCTACAAATTACAAAACGGGCAACTAATCTTACCTAATCATAAACCTTTAACGCCTGATAGCGATCCAAAACGTTTGGTTTTTATAGGTGATCAAGCATTCTCATTACAAAAACACTTTATGAGACCGTACCCACGAAGTACATGTTTAGATAACAGAGCAAAAAACACCTTTAACTATCGTCTCAGTAGCGCACGAAATGTAGTAAAAAATGCGTTCGGCATATTGTCAGCGCGATTTCGTGTGTTTCGTCGACCATTCGAATGTCAATTAGAACTAGTGGACGTCATTATAACCATCATAACGCACTGATATCGTAATGTACTATAATTAAACTCACCGTCTGGTATGTCTGGATTACTTATTTCCTCCACTATTATTTTCCATACAACATCCTTTTTAATTAAGTTGTGATAGTCCTTTGACTGTGTATTCCATAGTGCAGGAAATTGTTTAACAATTTCAATAAATTGCTCCATATTTGCTACAAAACGTCCGTGCATACGACGAAAGACACTGGACAGCACTGGCGGGAAGGCGGGAGGGGCCTAGCTTAGCTCGTGTAGCTGCGCATCGGCATATACAACTAACTTAGCTTCGCATATTTTACTTAGCTTGAAGCGTTTAGGTTGTAGATGGGGGATGAGAAGCACCCCCCAGGCTTCGGGTATAAGGAATAAAACTAGAAATAAAGTTTAACAATCTTTATTTTTGTTCTCAGGGGATAGGTAAGATATTCGCTCGTTATGGTTCTTGTTTCTATAATTACGAGGGGAGGACTTAGCTTTAAGTTTTGCTAGGGGACTTAGTGAGGACTTCGCGGGTTCGGCGTCACGGGCCGGGCAGAGGCTGAGAAGGGTGTAGACCCGTCGTCAGCTCCGGTCAGCAGCACCGAAGATCCACGAAGCTCAGGAGGATTAGGGTAGAAGAAGAAGTAGAAGTAGAACTAGAACCCTGTAACATAAATACAGCACTAAATAGAAGTTCAGTAAATGCAGCTACCTGTGGCCTGAAAAAATTAAGATAGCTGCATTTGCTATAGCTTCTATAAAAATCTACCGGCTAAAAAAATATAAAAACGTGTGTTTCAAATGATATCAAAAATCATTTAGAATGAAGTTAAAATAACAGATGCTATGATAATAATCTGTAAGTTAAAAAATACAATTACTAATACATTAAATTATACGGGAATCGAACCCGTACTTCAAGTAAAATGAAAGCAGTAAGTGTTCCCTTTAAAATCATCTAAATTTCAAGGTTATCAAAATTATTTATAGCACAACCCGGGAATCGAACCTGAGATGGAAACAAAATCACGAATTGAAACTGAAATAACTAGCATTCGAACAATGTATCGATTATATTTAATTTTTAGCAGACAAAATTAAATATGAAATCTGTAAGGTAGAAAAATAATAAAATGTTAATTTTGCATAGTCTCCGAACTCCGTTTTGTTTCAATATATTGTTTTATGAATGTTATTACTTTAAGTATAGCAACAATTTTTTTCTTTCCTTATATATCTATTTCACTTTTATTGAAATAGAATAAAAATATTATCGAACATTAGGTTAAGAACTGGATTTTTACTTCAGTAATAACATTCAATGAACATGAATAAACATTATAAAACAGCGAAATAGATTTAGAATTTAAAGTTACTTATTGGACTTGTGATTTTAAAAATTAAATACTCTAAGGTAATAACTTATAAGCGAGCAGCAAAAATTAAATGATTAGAACACTCACCCAATTTCGGGGTTATTTAACACTAAACACACAATTTGGAAAATCAAATCACAATGAATCCATTGGATTCGCGAGAAGTCATTTAAATACTATGGCACCACTATGAGCCGCGCTGCGCTCCTATGTCTGCCTACCTCCATAGTACAATTGTTAACATTGTACCTACAATTATTTTTAATTATATTTTTCTTTAAATTTATTTGTATTAAACAGGAAATTAAGACATCAGATAAACATTCAAAACAAGGACAGTTTATTAAGTAAACTGTTACAAGCTCACATAGCTTAGTTCGCATAGTTAGCGGTCTGCACACAAGTATGGAAACCTGCGTCCGCTATGCGAGCTAAGCTAAACTAACTTTGCTTAGCTCTTGGTCTGCAACCCGCATTAGGCAAGAATACAGACATGTACAAAAACGAAATTATTAGTGTAATGGCTACATCTATACATATAAAAAGGAGGATAAATCTAAGGGAACAGGAAAAGGTAATAATAACTCATTTTTATTGAAGTAAGATTACACTTTAATCAATTCAAATCATTAACTAAATATTAATAACTATCTATTGTTATAGGTGCATCACAAATGTATGTGAGTAGATAGTTCGCATATAATAATCTGACATTTTTAGATGACCGTAACAAAAACTCGTTAAAAACTGAATAATTTAAATGTCATTCTTTGATTTATTTTATGACTGTAAATGTTATTGTTAAAGGATAAACGCAGATAGTGTCGAAAGTCACCGGAACGCGTATTGATAATTACTGGCTAGAACAGATCGCGTCACTAGTTTAGATCGCTCGTAGAAAATAGAAAGTGTTCATTCAATTACGCATCCTTGTACACAGCACTCAAGGACAGTTGGTTGTTATTGGTCGTAGTGCGTGAGTGGGCGGGGCGTAGTAAATGCTGCAAGAGACGCGTTCATGCAAATGGGGATGCAAAGTGGAAAGCGCAAATGTTCGTGATAGTACGTCGCGAAATGTTTCTCATTCTAGACTTTTCATTTCTGCATCAGAATTATTTTCCGAAGAGGCTTTGTGGTGGTATCGTAGCATTAAGGAAGATATTAAGAATTGGGAGGATTTAATGGCTTTGCTCTTCAAAGACATAATCATATCCTTCCTCATAATTATGATTATATAGGTTACTGCAGGAAATTCGTTCGAGGACCCAGGGTCCTGATGAGTATTGTAAAATATTTAAGCGTCATGCATAAGTACTTTTCTAGGTTTCGGCGTTCCCTTAGCGAAGATGAGAAGTCTATTGAAGAGTTGAAGAGTCAGTGTCAGCGATTAGAGGCTGGCGAGCAGAGGGCTGAGTTGTTCACAGAGCCTCGTGTTTCCTCTAATTCTATTACGCCTGATTTATCGTGTAGGGGTAAGCTCGATAAGGTCTGTTCAAAGGTCGAGGTTCCTAAAGCATTTTGTGTACGCTGCCGTGTTGAAGGGCATACTCTGAAGAAGTGTAAAGCCCCTCGTTCCCTTGTTTGTTACAAGTGTGGGGAAAAGGACGTTACTTCTCTCACTTGTATCAAATGTGGTACGGGTACAAAAAACTAGCCGTGGTAGGCCGTCGCTCTACTGTAGCTGGAGGAGAAAAGAGGTGGCGTCGGATCCGTAGTGTCCATCGACTGACGGTTTCTCCGGTTGCAATGGTCCACCCGCATCGTAATGACTTTAGGCCTTATTTAAGAGTGGACACAGGTGGTCTTCCGTTCTCTGGTTTATTAGATTCGGATTCAGAGGTCTCGATTATTGGAGGATCAGCTGTAGATTATATTACTGACCTTGCTGTTTTATACAAGGATTATGATTTAGATTTTATTATAGCTGCTAATGCTCACGACCTGCCGAAAGTCCCACCCGAACCCTGAGTCACTGAAGCGAACCCTTGTTCGAGAAGTAAAAGATTCGTGCCGCCATTGATGACTGGCCAAATATATTTTCAATAAAATATATATTTAATTGTTGATTGAAAATTTTAGAAATATAAGTTATTTATTAAAAAAGCTACGCAACTTTTATTTCGTCTAAAAACTTATGAACATACGAGGTGTATGCCATAATTGCGATGAATCTGATTAAATATCGAAAAAAATCTATTTTGTCCTCAGATTTCATTGACTAACTTTGTTTAAGCGAATCGTCAAGTGGATATCGTTGGAGGTTTATTGTATACGCTGGAAATGCTAAACAGAAAATAACATGCGATGCCGATAACAAACAGAAATACGACACACAGATAAATTACGAGGAAGATACCGTTGACAGACTTGATGATGACGAGACAAATGAAGAGCATATTTGAAGACGAGATAATTGTAGCGGTGACCATCCTACGAACTTGATGGAGCCGCCGCTTAATCGTGGTCATACTTTAATAATGGTAAATTTTTATAACAGTCCGTTATTATTACGTTACTTGAAGTAACAAAATACTGGTTGTTAAGGAACATTACGATCGAATCGAGAATTTGATCCCGAATCAGTTAAGACTTTGACTAAAACAAAACTTCGAAAAGTGAAGTAGTGGCCACGTACTGTTTGATTTGATGATTTCTGTATGGTGTGATGCTAACATTGTAAGCATGATATTGACATACCATAACCTTCAAACTGGGACTCAAAACAAATACAACAGACAGACAAACAAACCATATAGGTATAGTACTCGACTATAATAAGAGTATGGGTGAAGTCGACAGGAAAGATCAATTCCTATCAGCTCAGCCTGTAGA